TGTGCAGTTAACGAGTGTAGAGCCAGGAAGGAGCGTTGCTGTCAATTGATGAGCCAAGCATTCAACTCCGCGCGGCCATTCAACATTTTTTTTCTTTTTTCTATAACTTTGGAAAATTTTTGACAATTTGTTTCAAGAATATTTAACAGAGTTCGAAGATCACCTTAAGACTGGCAAAACATCCTACAGACGAAGCTCCATATCCTTAAACCTAATGAATTTAAAAAATAAAGGCAAAATAAATTGAAATTTATCTTAATAACATAAAAAATCTAAAAAATAACAGTACTGATCAAATAAACAAACGAACGAACGAACAAACAAACAAATAAAAAACAACATGAGAACATTATCAAACAGTTTTACGAAGGAATTATAAGGCTATATCGAGTCGTTGAATTTATTCATTCGTTTTTTTCATTCATTTGTATTTTATTCATTTATTCATTCAATCATTTATTTGTATGTGCGTGTGTTTGCATCCATGCAATGGATAGATGGTCAAACGGACGGACGGACAGATGGATGAACGGACGGACAGATGGACGGATAGACGAATGAATGAATAGATGAATGAGAGGATGGATGGATGGATGGCTGGATCAGCTTATCAGCATGTCATCACATATCGATTTCCTAAAGTTACATTCCATATCAGGACTACATCTCTTATTTAGACTCAGCATTTGAGTGTGTGGCTTTCAAGGCATGTGCATAAATATCTGCAAGCCTTTGTACGTGAACATGTATGTATCTATGTATGCATTTATGTATGTATGCATGCATGTATGTATGTTTGTGTGTAGGTATGTATGTAAGTATGTATTTATGTTTGTTTGTGTATATGCACGCATGTAAGCTTTGCATGTATGTCTACGTAAAGTGTATGTCCGTATGTTTGTTTGTATATATGCATATATGTTTCTGAACGTACAAGCTATTGATAGCATGCCCATCGTTTTTTGTACACTGTGGGGAGGAAAATATGCACGCGTGCGTCGTACACCTCAAAGCGTTGTTTGTTGTTATTTCGACAATGAATGAACCGTTTGAAAACAATTTCGTCTTTTTTAATTTGAATAGTGTTACTTGTATGCCTTCATATGATTAGCAGCACAATAAACTACGTTGGCGCGAGAAGACATTCGAGACTGATTTTTAACAAACAAGTTTTCAAAAATGTACCATTTTAATTTTAGCTAATCTGCATTCTAAATGAAATTATTTAAAAAATAATGTAATATAATAACAACAACAACTTTTACTACTTCTACTATTTCTTACTACTACTACTACTACTACGACTAATACTACTACGACTAATACTACTATTACATCAACGTCAACAAACCAGAACATAAACAACAACAACATTAACGACAACAAATAATAACAACAAAAACAATAAGAGCAACAGAAAGAAAGTGACCAGAGATGAAAAGGCGTGGTACCGTTGAAGAACGACAACGACGCAACAACAACCTCTCTGGGCCTCAGGGAGATGGATGGAAGAGATAAGGAATGAGTGCAACAAATTATTCGTTTTTCGAATTATTCCTCTCCTCTTATCTGATAGATGGATTGAAAATATAAAACGAATTTTGTTCTTTCATCTGGTTAAACTTTTTTTTATACAAATATATATCTTTCAAATATTTTAAATTTTGTCTGAAACAATCATAACTGAGAATTATGAACCAATTGATGCTGAGAGGTAAATAATTTGTAAAACGTTGCAAGCACGAACCGTGGATGTCAGCTATCTATCCATCCATCCACTCGCCCATCCATTCACTCATCCATCCTTTCACTCATCCATCCATCCATCCAGACACATCAGGAGGCACGCACGCTCGCAGTTCTTCCTCGTTGACTAATCTTTTGCAAAGCAGACTCCCGCCACGATGTAAATAATATTCTCCCTCCCTCATGGACCTCGATAAATGTTTTATCTAGCCATTTACTTTTTTCTTCATTGATGATTTCGGTCCAAATGTTTATATTTTCAAATTTTTCATTTTTCACAAATTTTTTAAAAATATTTTTTAATAAAATTGAAGAAACGTTATCACATACTTAAAACAGAAACTGCTCTTACGAACGTTTGTCATTATAAAATTTACTCGAAAGATAAACAGCAGGGACTCACACTACATTTCATACACCATGGAGGGAATAATCAGTGACCGGTGTCAGATGGTTGTGACAATGAGATCTCCAGGTCATAGTTAACTCCAAGTGCTATAGCCTACTTCACATAATGAAACCTCACGCACACACACACCTAACATGTTCTTTTATTCCAGTGAAAAATTCGAGTGGACACTGAAAAATGCAACCTAATACCTCAGTAATTTGATGGTGAGTTTGTGGTCGGTTTAACAAGTAAGCGGAATGTATGATGCGCGCGATGTTATCTGCCGGTGACGTGGTCGCACTGATGCGCGCGAGCAATCTGGCGAGATTAAAAGTTCATTTGCCCACTACAGGAGTAAACTTTTGTGAAAGTTTAATTAGTTACAATAAGCATCGGCGGCAACTTCTTCAAAAATATTTTAAGGCAGGGAGAGAAATAAATACAGTTTGTTTATGTTTGTTTGTAATAATTTTCAAAAAAGTTGACAAATGTTCTCCATTGTTTTGACAGCAAACAATAACTTTGCATACCAACTTTGCATATAAATGTTTATCGTGCAAGAAGCATATTCAACAATCCCAACACCTCAGCGATGGCATGTTTGAAGT